TTCTACGAATTAAAAAAAAAAAAAAAAAAATCAGTTTAAGATCTTGGCTTCTCTCGCCGCCTGCTATCGAGCCATCCAAGCGTGTTGCAAGGGACGCCGCCTGCAGGGAGGCTGTGCACGTTGCATGACGATAGGGGAGAGGGAGGGGAGGGAGGGGAAAGGGAGAGGGAGAGAGGGAAGGGGAAAGGGAGGGAGAGGGAGAGTGGGAAAGAGGGGGTAAAAGGAAGGGAGGAAGGGAGGGGGAGAGGGAGAAGGGGAAAGGAGGGGAAAGGGAAAGGGTTGGGGAGGGAGGAGGGAGAGAGGGAGAAGGGAAGGGGGAGAAGGAAGGGAGGAGGAGGAGGGGGAGGGAAAGGGGGTAAGGGGGGGGGAGGAGGAGAAGGGAGAAAAGGGAATGGAGAGAGAAGGAAGTGGGGAAAGAAGGATGGGAAGGGAAGGGGAGACACGGAGAGGAAGGGGATGGGAGAGAGGAAAGGTGGAATAGAGAAGGAAAGGGAGGGAATTAAAAGACGGGAAGAGGAAAGGGAAAGTGAGTAAAGCAAGAGGAAAGAAGAGAAGAAGAAAGACGAGAGTAAAGGGTAAAATAAATAAAAATAGGGAGGAGGAAAGGAAGGGAGAGGGGAGGGAGGGAGGATGTTTCCAAAACACGGTCACCCGCTGTGCTTAGCCAGTGTGGTGGGGAACGAAGGGGGAGGGGAGATGGTGGGGAGGGGAGGAGGATAAAAATAAGGGGGGAGGGAGGAGAAGGATAGAAACAAGGGAGTGAATACTTTTATTAACAAAGGGGGGTGGGGTGGGGTGGGTTGAGGTCATCTGTGACATTTTCGTTATGGCAATTTCTCTTTTTTATTTTATTCTCTTTTCTTTCTTTTTTCGTGGTTTATTATTTTTTTAAAATAAGAAATAGATGTATTTCTCTTTTTTTCGTCTTTTTTTTCTTTAGGTTGTTTGGTGTTCTTGTTTGGATTATATTAATTCGTCATAATTGTAATTATACGTGACTTTGATAATGTTTATATAGGTAAGATTATGAATACGAGAAATTAAAAATGAAGAAAATAGGGGAAGAGAAGAGAGAGAGAGAGAGATAAAACGGAAGGAGAAACGGGGAAGAAGAAGCAAAACCAGAAGAAGAAGAGAAGGAAAGAGAGAGCAGAAGGGGGAGGAGGGAAGGGGAGAGAGAGGGGAAGAACGCAGGTGTGCTGGAGGAGTCCTTGTGTCCTTACCTCTCCTCCTACCCCCTTCCCTCCCTCTCGCAGTCCCTCCCTCCCTTCTTCTTCTTCTTCTTTTCTTCTCCTTTTTTTTCTCCTCCTTTTCTTTCTTCTTCTTCTTCTTCTTCTTCTTTCCTCCTCCTCTCCTTCCTCTCCTCTCCTCCTCTCTCTCCTCTCCTCCTCCTCCTTTCCTCCTCCCCTCTCTTCCTCCCCTTCCTCCCTTCTCCTCCTCCTCTCTCTCCTCCCTCCTCCTCTCCTCCTCCTCCTCCCTCCCTCTCCTCCTTCTCCTTCTCTCCCTCCTCCTCCTCATCTCCCTCCTTCCCTCCTTCCCCCTCCCCCCCCCGCAGAAGCGCCACCTCGACGCGAGACCGTAATCTGAGAGCGAGCCATCACGTGTGGACGAGGGAAAGGAGGCAAAAGAAGAAGAAGAAGAAGAAGGAGAAGAAGAAGAGGAAGAGGAAAAGAAGAGAAGAGGAAGAAGAAAAAAAAGAAGAGGAAAGAAGAAGGAGAAGAAGAAGAAGAGAAGAAGAAGAAGAGAAAGAAGAAGAAAAAAGAAGAAGAAGAAGAAGAAGAAAAGAAAGAAGAAGAAGAAGAAGAAGGAGAAGAAGAAGAAGAAGAAGAAGAAAAAGAAGAACAAAAGAACAACAAAAAAGTGGAAAAAAATGATGAAACGAGTGGGAAGTGATAAGGTGGAAAACAAACACGTTTGAAGAGGCGGCGTTTGTGTGTGTTTGTGCGATTTGGAATTGGATGATTGATGATGGTTTTTGACGATTAGAAAGACGAAGTGTGTGTGTGTGATATATATATATATATATATATATATATATATATATATATATATATATATATATATATATATATATATAATGAATGTGAATGGTGAAAATAACTGGTATGAATATAGATGGACAGACTGACGAATAGATAAGTTGATAAACCAACAGAGAGAAAGAGAAAACAGATGGGAAGAGAGAGAGAGAGAGAGAGAGAGAGAGAGAGAGAGAGAGGAGAGAGAGAGAGAGAGAGAGAGAGAGAGAGAGAGAGAGAGAGAGAGAGAGAGAGAGAGAGAGAGAAAGAAAGAGAGAGAGAGAGAGAGGTAAAGGTGGGAGGGGGGTAGAAAAGAGAAGAGAAAGCAGTGTAAAACATTTTGGTCCAAGCAAGAGAGTTGAAAAATATTTGACATTATCAGATAGTATTAGTAACAGAAGACGAGAGAAGAGAGAAGAAGAAGAAGAATAAAAGGAAGATGAGTGAGAACACGAGAAAGCGCAACAGCTCAACAGTTTTCA